TCAAGTGTGATGATATGTATGTTGACAATGCATGTTTGAACAGCATCTGCACTCCAGAGGCTATCAGATACTGCTTTAGCAACCCAGGTGTCAGGATGCATGTGAATGTAGGAAGCTTGACACAGGAATCAAGTGCAGAACATTCAATCTTTAGATGCAACAGGACCAAACTTTGTAAAGTGCAGTACCTAACTCAAGGCCACCCACTGCCATCAAGGGAGTGGGCCTTAGCTGTTTTATGTCCCTCAAAGGTGGGAGTTGCTTTTTACTGCTTGGATATGAATTAGAGCAATGAAGCCAACATGACATCGACCGCAAGTGCTCAGTCATAGAAGTCGGAACATATTTGAATAAGAAAGGTCTTGTACATAGAAATAGGATATTAAATAGGTATAGGGGTTGTTATTGTCATCTCAGTGCATGACAAAATATTTTGAAATGTTGTTGCATTAGCTTGGATTTCGTTTTGCATAAAAGAAGAAAACTTAATGATGAAGAGCAAGTGCCTTGTGCTTGTTGGGTTTGAATGCTACTTTATTGTAATATCAGCAGCCCTTTTTCTTGAAGCCTTCTTGAGGGGCTGGCAGGCGTCAGTGTTGTGAGAGTGGCAGTCATGCTCCAAGGGATAACAGTGTTACAGTTATTCCCAGGTTTGCTAACTGGCTGTGTATAACTCTGCTGGTGGTTTTCTGATGACAGGAAACACTTTTATTATTATATAGGTTTACTTTATCAGTAATGCAGTAATCGTTCAAATCTTGCGATGGCTTTGGTTCACTGAATTTCATATCTTTCTTTAGTTTCAACATTTGTTTTATGTTCTATTTGTTAGATTTAACTGAAGAAAACATAACTGATTTAACTAAAAAAGAAAGAAACGTGAAACCCAATGTAATGATTTCATAAGTTTTAAGATTAGTGCTTCTATTTTTATGAGTTTTCTTATTTCCAGGAAACGGCTTGTTCATATATCTGGGTAAATTTGAGCTTAATTTCACTGCTTTAGGACTGATTCCTTTATTTTGTTATCTTACATTTGAAACAAAATATACGCTATTTCTATGGCAGCTGTTATATTATCCCTTAAACTGGGCGGCACAATCGATTTCAAGCAACAGATGGTCAGGAACGTGGTTCTGTCCAACCCTTGTAGCCAAGCAGTAGTCCTCCTGCTGCAATCATGACCAATAGATTTGCTGCTGTCTGGATGACTGCATTTACCTGTTGCTAAACATGTGTTTATATCTTGATTGTATATGGCCATTCAAATCTTTCTTACATAGCAGCTTAACCCGATGTAAGTAGCAGCTTGACCCGGCATACATAGCAACTTAACCTGGCACACACAACAGCTTAACCCGGCATACACAGCAGCTTAATCCCGCATACTCTGCAGCTTAACCTGGTGTACACAGCAGCTTATCCTGTTGTTTACTGCAGCTTAACCCATTAAAGCCAAGAATTATTCTGGGAGAAATTTAATATTTTTTTCAGTTTGAATACTTCATTTGGTTCTTTTAAAGTTATTAAAACATTCATTTCACAAAAATTCTACATGAATTCTGAAGTATGGCCTGGCAACTAATGTTGCCTTTTGGCAGTAAGATAAAGAATTTGAACTTCTATATAATGTATGGTAATAATATTGACCTGTGCCAATAAACTAAATTTGCTCTTGGTAAATTGAAAATGAAATGAATAATTTGGAATGATAAATATATCCATTCAGTAGAAACATATCATCGATCACCATTGCGGCATAGAAGAATAAAGATTGTGTGGGTAACTTCCTTGCATCCTGGGTGATGAGCAATAGTGCATAATTCGCATTTGCACACAGTCCTTTTTATGCTGTTTAGACATCTTGCATACTTTGTTTCTTCTTCCACCATCCAGTGCTGTGCTGTAGTTTTCAGGACAATATTCTAAGCAGGTCAGCTTGATGCAAATTTAGAACAGCTTTTCTTCCTGGCTGGGCTGAGTACTCATGGTTCCACTAACAGCATCTCTGATGAATTTTAAGCACTGAATATTGTTGCTGCATGTATTGAAAAGTCTCCAAGCATTTACAGCTCAGGCACTAACTATGGTGGTGGCCCCAGAAAAGGAGCAACCACAATTTTTTGAATGAATTTCTGCTCTGATAAGCTGCTAATTGTTGGTGAAACAAATCTGACTGGTAGGGTCTTCTATGATGCAGGTTATTGTGTCAAGAGAGAAGCGATACAGGCAGAAATAGTCTTGTGCTATCAAGATTGATCTCACTTGGAATTGTAAAATATTTACTCACAAACAATAGGAACACAGCCTTTTCTGTGGGCTTGTACCGGCCTGAGCAAAAACATCGTGTCCACCTTTAGTTTAGAGGTCAACTGACTGAAGGGCGAGCAACCGAGGTGAATAATACTTGTTCAGTAACTGTATGGAATATATATGATGCAGTGTGGGACTACAAAACTGAAATTTACCTTATATTATGAATGATACACAATTTTTTTGAGGTGGCAACTAAAGTTGCCAATAGCCTTTAATGGGTTAACCTGGCATACAAAGCAGTTTAACCCGTCGTACACAGTAGCTTACCCTGGCGTACACAGCAGCTTAACTGTATTGGAGCTTGACCCGTGCTATGGAGGAGCTTGATCCAGACTATGTAGGAGTTTGGTCTGAAGAATGTATCAGCTTAATCTGACATTGCTTGGCCCAGACATTCAATTAAAAATAATGCAAAGATATTCAGGAACAAGGAGTGGCCGCATGAAAAAACTTGATATTAATTAAATAGACCATTTCTTTCACTAACTATGGTGGTGGCCCCAGAAAAGGAGCAACCACAATTTTTTGAATGAATTTCTGCTCTGATAAGCTGCTAATTGTTGGTGAAACAAATCTGACTGGTAGGGTCTTCTATGATGCAGGTTATTGTGTCAAGAGAAAAGCGATACAGGCAGAAATAGTCTTGTGCTATCAAGATTGATCTCACTTGGAATTGTAAAATATTTACTCACAAACAATAGGAACACAGCCTTTTCTGTGGGCTTGTACCGGCCTGAGCAAAAACATCGTGTCCACCTTTAGTTTAGAGGTCAACTGACTGAAGGGCGAGCAACCGAGGTGAATAATACTTGTTCAGTAACTGTATGGAATATATATGATGCAGTGTGGGACTACAAAACTGAAATTTACCTTATATTATGAATGATACACAATTTTTTTGAGGTGGCAACTAAAGTTGCCAATAGGCTTTAATGGGTTAACCTGGCATACAAAGCAGCTTAACCCGTCGTACACAGTAGCTTACCCTGGCGTACACAGCAGCTTAACTGTGTTGGAGCTTGACCCGTGCTATGGAGGAGCTTGATCCAGACTATGTAGGAGTTTGGTCTGGAGAATGTATCAGCTTAATCTGACATTGCTTGGCCCAGACATTCAATTAAAAATAATGCAAAGATATTCAGGAACAAGGAGTGGCCGCATGAAAAAACTTGATATTAATTAAATAGACCATTTCTTGGGGTTAACTTTTAAAACATTATGTGGTACATTTTGTTGTCATATAATGTTTTTCTCTCTATAGTATGTGAAAGTCTCTTGGGTGGGTCATAATGAAAATGATCAAATTTTGAGACTTTTTATTCATAATATAGATACTGCATTTCTTGTGAACTGAGAAATTATTCCATATGTTGCACCAAGAAGTTGGGAAGCACAAAATAGGTGATCTAATGGAATTCCATTTCCCCATGTCAAGGATGAAAAACTTGTCTTTAAGGAAGTTGCAGAAATTTAGAACAATTCATAAAAGGTTTTAATGTGTGTTTGGATGTCTTTGATCCACAATGTTGAAAAATTACACTAGTTCCACTTGAGAATGGCATTGAATTTAAATGATAAATCTATATAGCAACTCCTAAAGTGACTAGTAAATTTAGGGGAAATCCTTGAGTTCAACAAAATATTTGAGATTGATTTGTGCTGCCTTACTGGTTCCTTAGTAGAGGATTCTCATCAATGCCAGGATATGATGGTGAGTTTGCATCAATGTGGGAAGCTTTATTTTAGTGCAAGGAAGTAGGTCGAGTAGGTTTAGTGCAAGGAAGTTTAGTGCAAGGAAGTAGGTATGACTTTCTGTGCAAGGAAGTAGGTCATACCTACCAGGGGTCCTTGCAAACCCCCTTTCCTGAAGTGCAAACTTATGTCATCAGTTAACATGGGACCGGGAGTATAACTCAGAGTGGTAATTGTTAGTTCACTGCATAAAAATGACTTGTAGACCTAACCATGTATTCCTGTAATGGTAGTGGATTGAGTGCACACCTTAGGTTCATTAGGTTTGATTTTCTTCAGCTTTTCTGACTAGGTTAAAGCTCGCAAACTGATATATGAGTCATTTAAGGTTAAGTGGAACCCCATACCTTGGTCTTGCACTGGTCTCTTTTTCTTGCATCGTTCCCCATACATACTATGTTCTTTCTTCTTATGATTGGTTCTAGATCATTTATTAATAAAAAGACAGTAAAAGGTTGAATAGAAAGCTGGAGTAAGAAGGTTGTAAGGAAGTTGGAGACCATTAGTGAACCACTTTTCCTGAACCCTAAAGCAACTAACGCCCTCAGGCACACTGCCTGGCCAGCGACGCTTTTGACTTAGTGTCATGTAACACAATATTCAAATGTAGCCAAGTTGTGTGCATCAAAGATTATTGATACATCAGGCAAACAATTGTGTTTAAGTAACTTAGCACAAGTGAATTTTGTTGCAAATGTTTAAATTAAAGCCTTCTTATGAGCCTCTATTGCACTTTGTACAATTTTCTGTATCTATCCAGTGTTATTCCCATTGCTGCAAACATTATTTACTAAAAAAAAATTTAAGCTAATTTATTCAAAATTCTCATCACATTTGGTGATGTCGTCCAAAGAAGGCAGTGTTTTGCTGCACCAACTCTCTGATGCTGCAGTCAGGAGTGGCAGATGCCCTGAGCAGAGCCTCTCTCAAGCGTCTCCTGGTGGCAGCAAAGTAAAGTCTGAAGGTATGGAAAATATCATTTGTGCTAATCAGTTGTTATTATTCAGAGAAGGAACTGAGTTTATGTAAATTTGTCAAATTTATTTCTCATCTGTAATTATTTCTTAGGAGTTTCAGTACAATATCTGGTAACATTGTGTTGAAATATGCCACCTCGTGTGTCTCGCTCATCTGAATGATATTACCATTTTGTCTAAAGTTCACATGACTCATCAATTTAGTGAGCATTATAGTTACTATGAGATATCTTGCTCCATAGCCCAGTGGTACCAGTACACTAATGTATATATTTTCCAGCCTTGGAAAAGGTTGATCCTCCACCAGTCCTCAAAGTTCCTGCTATCTACATCAAGGAGGAACCTGAGAGTGAAACTGAAGAAGTATCCATCAAAGACGAACCATTCATATATGGAAATGAAGTAGGTGGAGTGTATATGCAAGTGAATGCTTGGGAAAGCTTTTAAAATTCCTGCATAAATTTTTATGAAAAAAGTGTCTGAATGACATTTCCATAATCAAATTGTCAAGTTAGGCATATAAGATAAATCTTAACCAAGTATTAAGTCAGTCTGAAATATTAAGCAATAATAATTAGGTATGTACCATCCACATTCTGATTCAAAAATTGGTGAGAAGTTACAAAAATTTGATTTATAATTACTTGCATTATGTTTGACATTCTAAATCCAAACTTATTTTTTTTTCTCTCGTTAGTGATTTTAAGTGACATCCATTTTAATTTATAAACAGGCAAGTGGAATATTTTCATTATGAAGCATTGACAATTAAGAGAAGAGATTTTTTAGCTAGTTATTTGTGATGCTACCATACACATGTGCTATTGATAAATTAGGAACTTGTAGCGATTTCTTTGGGAAGTTGTATATAATACATTCTCTTATAAAAGAACCTATCACTGCCAGCCACATCAACATTGTCCTCCACTTCTCCCCAGGCCTCTTCAACTCTAACATCTCCCTTGTTTACCATGCAAGGCAGAAGTTAAAGTTGAGGCTCACAACTCCTACCAAAACTCCTCACAGAACATTTCTGCTCATTTTTCAAATCATGTATGTATAAATAATTTTAGCTTTCCCTAATTTATGCCACACAACAAATTTTTTAGATTTTTCAGATTCATTAAAATCATAAGAGTTTTGTTTTCTTGTTTGCATTTGAATATAAAATTTGTGACCTAATAATCACTGGTTGTGAAATGGGGAACAGATGCAATTTTCCCTGTATATTTTAATCCTGCTAGTGAAATCTAATGATTTTCTATCTCCAGAAATAGATAGCAATTCCTTCCATTTTCCCCATGCAAGGATCAATTCCTTGAACAAGACTGTCTAATTCATGCAGTGTAGGAAAAGGAGGTAATGTGCTTGAAAAAGTTACCTCAAATTCAAATTTACCAATCAAATTTGAATTTTTTATGCAAATTGGAATTTAATATTCAAATTCAATATTTGGATTTGAATTTAATATATTAATTTTAATTCAATATTCAAATTAGAATTCAATATTTGAATTTTAATTCAATATCTGCATTTGAAGTCAATATTCAATTTTGAATTTAATATTCAAATTCAAATTTAATGTTCAAATTTGGATTAATAGTCAAATTTAAATTTAATATTTGAATTTGAATTTAATATTCAAATTAAAATTTAATATTCAAATTCTAATTTAAAATTCAGATTTGAATTTAATATTTGAATTTGAATATTATTATCAAATTAAAATTTAATATTCAAATTCATATTTAATATTTAAATTTGAGTATAATATTTGAATTCAAATTTAATACCTAGTCAAATTCCAATTTATTATTCAAATTTTAATTTGATATTCCAATTTTAATGTGTTATTTAAGTTTAAATTTCTTATTTAAATTTGAATTGGTTATTCAAATTTGAATTTAATATTTAAATTCAAATTTAATATTTGAATTTCAATTCAATGTTTGATTCTAAACTTAATATTCAAACTTGAATTCACTACCTTCAACATAACATCTTCTCCCTGTTCTCATGTATCTGGGATCACATTCCAGAAAGGAAGGGATTGGTAATAACATCACACAGCATAGGACAAAAATGAATTGCTTGAGTTCCCAACATTAGTTCTTTTGTCTTGAAGCTGTCCAGGGTCTGCTTGGGATAATATAATATCCTTACATATTGGAGAGCAAGCCCTATTTCATGTAGCCATGAACTAGCATCTACAAGTAAACAAAAATGGTGGACTAATATTGAGCATTAGAGCAGTGAAATAAAATTGTTATATCCTAATAATATGTTTAGCTCAGTAATTATAAGAATATTGTTTCCTAAGGCAAAAAAGCAAATTTGTTGGCATGGCCTGTGCTTGGCACCAGTGGCATTGAACCAGCTGAGGATAAAGCCAATGCTGATTCTCTACAAAGTTCTCTCTCCAAAGAGATGATAGTAGATGATGTTGTTATTGATACTCTTTTTGTAACTGTTTATTAGAATGCAGTGACCAGTATGAATTTGTGTGTACATCTTGTGGATCTCGAGAGTGATAATTTGGATTTGTCTATTTTTGGTAGTGGAGGCCAGCTATTGAGCAGTTCTGGTATGAGTCAATGGCTTACGTGTGTAGGCTGTTACTGGATTTTTTCTTATGTTGATTGGTAGAACTGGTTGAATTACATTGATGTATTTGGTGTTTTGAGTTTCTCGTTTTGTGAGGTTAGTGGTTTGGTCAGGTGACTTGGTGGAGGCTTCAGATGGAGGCACTGCATAAGGTATTGGGTGTGAAGAAGGTCAATGTTGGACAGTAAGTGTTCATCATTCAGAGTGAAGATATTGCTTGGCTGTTGTTCAACAAGTTACTGTATGAAAAGTGCAGCATTTTGAACCGTTGTAGTCGTGTAAAGAATGGACATCCAGTTGTGACAAGCAAAATCAATTATTGGGTGAGATGGTTTTGTCAGTTTATAGTAAGGTTACCAAGTCTTGTCCATATGATGTTCCTTAGAGGACTTTCATCACGTTTTGCTTTTTGAGGATGTGCTGTTGTGGTTTTGTTTTGGGTGGTGAAAGTAAGCCAAAATAGTTTAGGCCAAGGATTTTTGGGTTGTGTTCAATCAGAAGGAGCGCAATTGGCTCTCAAACTTGACTTGAGTGTGGTAATGGTACTGGGCCGCATGAGGTATTATGACAGTTACTTTCGGTTTGGTTGGTCGAGATTTCCTAATTTCAGTGATTGGAAAAAAGGGTAATGCCTAGCAGTTGAACTGTTACAACACATAACTTGGCCAAACCAAAGCCTATTGCAATCAGCTTCTAAATTTAAAAATTACTGTATCTAAAATAATGTTAAATTAATGTATCTAACTTTATACAAGTATAACTTGCACTGCATTTTCATTTATGTTTAAATTCTCAAGCCAGAATCTATGCCTCAATTTTTGACCAGGCAATACTAACTCACTTATTTGCCTTGACCAAGTAACCAAGTAATAGTGCTAAGTAATCATTGCATGAACTGGAACAGACTAAGCAAAAATTCCTAAACTTTTGTCACAATCTTCAATTTCTTTGGCAACAACTTGAGTATTTTTTCCGAAAATCAAACTTGAAAGTCAACAGTTTACTGTGGCTCTTATAAATATTTCAGATTGTTTTACTTTGCTTTTTTATCATTAGTGTGGTGAAGGTGGGTCAGCACCGGCATCAGCAAATGCTGCTGGCAGTGGTGACGTCTCTGGGGCGTCCAGCTCCAAGCAACACATAGAAAAATCATTCAAGTTCCATGACTGTGAACAAGCGGGTACCACAAGAAAATCAATGCAAGAGCGTATCAACTTGAAAAATTTGTGTGGAAGTAAACACCGATGCCAGTTCTGTTTGAATTCATGTGCCACTAAAGCTGATCTCAAACAACATATTTTCCTACGTCATCCACAGAGAAATGCACAGAAATGCTCACAAAGTAAATGCACTGATGGTTGCAAAGAAATCTTGCACAAGTGCCACCTTTCTAAACGTTCATCACTGAAGTTTTGTTGCTCCGAATGTGATTATGCTTACAACACAAATTGGAAATTGAAAAGACATTTCCTTTCAAAGCATTCAACAGAAAATTTTTTTCAGTGCACTGAGTGTGATTATGCTTGCGCCAGAAAAGAAAACTTGAAAAATCATTTTCTTTTAAAGCATTCCAAAGAAAAATCTTTTCAGTGCTCTGAGTGTAATTTTGTTTGCACCACGAAAGGAAACTTGAAAAGACATTTACTTTTCAAACATTCAAAAGATAAACCTATTCAGTGCTCCGAGTGTGATTATGCTTGCATTGTAAAAAGTGACTTGAAAAAACATTTTCTTTCCAAGCATTCAACAGAGAAACCTTTTCAGTGCTCCGAGTGTGATTATGCTTGCACCAGAAAAACAGACTTGAAAAGTCATTTTCTTTCCAAGCATTCAACAGAAAAACCTTTTCAATGCTCCGAGTGTGATTATGCTTGCATCACAAAAGGGAACTTGAAAATACATTTTCTATGCAAGCATTCAACACAAAAAGACTCATCTATGCTCTAAGTGTGATGATATGTGTGTCAAAAATGCATGTTTGAACAGCATCTGCTCTCCAGAGTCTATCAGAAACTGCTTCAGTGACCTAGGTGTGAGGATGCATGTGAATGTGGGTAGCTTGACACAGGAATCAAGTGCAGGACATTTGATCTATTGAGGCAACAGGACCAAGCTATGTAGAGTACCTAACCCAAGGCACCCACTGCCAACTCGAATGGGGGGCTTAGCTGTTCAATGTTCAATGAAGGTGACAGTCGCTTGTAGTGGCGTGGATATGAAATAGAACTACGAAGCCAAGATGATACAGCAGGTGCTCAGTCTTGGCAGTTGTAACATATTTGAATAAGAAAGGTTATGTACACAGAAATAGGTATTTAAATAGATAAAGTGGTTGTTAAAGACATCTCAGTGCACAACAAAATGTTTTTAAAATGTTGCTTGAGCTTGGATTTTGTTTTGCTTAAGAGAAGCAAAATTTGTATAGTTATGGAGAGCTATTGCCTTTTGCTTGTTCGTGGGGCTTGAATGCTACTTTATTGTAATATCAGCAGGCATTTTTCTTGTAGCCTACTTGAGGGGCTGGCAGGCATCAGTGTTGTGAGAGTGGCAGTCATGCTCCTAGGAATAACAGTGTTGCAGTATTCCCAGGTTTTCTAACTGGTGGTTTCTAACTCTGCAGACGGTTTTTCTGGCAACAGAATTCTCTTTTATTGTTGTATAGAGTTACTTTATCAGTAATTCAGTAATCGTTCAAATCTCGCGATGGCTTTGGTTCATTGAATTTAATATTTTATGTTTGTGTCAACAATTCTTTTACATTCTATTGGGTAGATTTAACTGAATAAGATTAGTAAAAGCTACCCCCAATGTAATGATATCATAAGTTTTATGATTAGTGCTTCTATTTTTATTAGTTGAGTATTTCCAGAAAATGGCTCGTTCATAAATCTGGTTCAATTTGAGCTGAATTTTGCTGATCTGAAACTGATTAAATGATTTCGTTTATATATAAATGTACAAAATATTATATTAATTATTCTGTATACAACCCTATTTCTATGGCAGCTTTTATACTATCCCTTGGACTGGGCGGCACAATCGATCTCAATCAACAGATGGTCAGGAAGGAGGTTGTGTCCAATCCTTGTAACTGAGCAGTAGTCCTCCTGCTGCGCTCACAACCAATACATTTGTTGTTGTCTGGATGTAAGGTTCAAGTAAAGGACGACTCCAAGTATATTCGACAATTAACCCTAAACTGCCACCGATCTTAACAAAGGAGGAATGAAAGCATAATAAACAAATATTTATTAAACAAAACACGTAAATTGATCACTAATAAATGAAAAGTTGAAAAGATCCTAGTAAATAACGCACAACAATGATAGCACACAGGACAACACAGCAATGATCGTACACAGCAAAGGTAGTTCACAGTAAAGGTAATGTACAGCAAAGATGATGCACAGCAAAGATAATGCACAGCAAAGGTAGTTCACAGCAATGGTAATCCACAGCACAGGTAATACACGGCAAAGGTAATGCACAGTAATGGTAATGCACAGCAATGGCACCGCAGTGGTGGGGCACAGCAGTGGCGGTCTACAACAATAGTCGTATACAGCAATGGTAGTACAGTGGACTGATGCTACATTTGCACGACGGGGCACTGAACTGATGGTGCACAGTCTGATGAGCACTGAGCTTATAGTACACAGGAAGGGCTAGTGAACTTGGGTTGAGACTGGACTGGTGCAGGTACTGGAGTTGGGAAGTACCGTCGAGGTTGGCCTAACTAGGAGCCGCATTTGCTGGCCAGGGGCCGCATTATCAAAACTTCGTAACTTTTTGTACTTCCGACAAAAAAGTTACGTATTACGTAAGTATACCCTAATTTTGGCATTATCAAAACATTCGTACGTAAGACTTAGCTAAAAGCGTACTATCAAAACCATCTGGCCAACTGACCAATCAGAGGCTTTGGATTTGTTTACATTCTGTGAACTTCGATGGCGGGAATCGATGCCTTTGATGGTATCGACTATCGAATGCTGTTTGTCGGTATTGCTCCTTGTTGGCCCAGAAAAAGCCGTTCTAAAATAGTTGTGAACTCTTTTTAATTAACAGCGTGAGTTGAAGAATAAATCTGTGTACGGAGCTAAAAATTATGGTTGACAAAGATATAAAGTAGTGCCGACTAGAAGGAATGAATTAATTGAATTTTTGAAAATGAATGAAAAAAATTTTGAAAAAATGAATTTAATTTTTTTCCAATAGCACTGCTTAGCACGATCACATATTTTGATTGTGCAAATGTTGCACGATCAAGTAGTGGAGCCATCACAAGTAGAGCCATCATTCTATGTGTGTATAATCCGCGCTGTCTGATTATTGACAAAATTCTATCACAAATCATGGTGTTGCTACTTGCTAGTAAATCAATAGTTTCCTATTGCTTCAGCAGACACTCTAAACTTGTGTGGAACTCCACTTACGACATCTCCGAGCAGGCGTACAGTTACGTTACGTAGGTTCCCGCGCAAATGTTTTGATAATACCACCTCTAGAG